AAATTTACATTATCCAGATTTACCTCTGCCTCAGTAGAGAGGCAGAGGAGGCTTCCCTCAATGGAGGGAAGCTGACTCTATTTTTAGCTTTTTAATATTTTTATAAGGGCAAAATAGGTATAAAATAATTTTCTTAGAAAACTAAATTTTTCCATTTGATTAGTTTGGAAACCCAATTTCTCACCATTTCATGTAAAATTGGTTTTTAAGACATGTTTAATAACTTATTTAAGAAAATAAAAAACCTTATTTAAAAATATATTTCTTGTTTGGGAAAATGGGTGAAAAGGACTTGATGAGAATAGAAATTATGCCCAAGGACCAAATCAAATTTAAGTACCAAGCTAAATTTCTTTAGAAGGCAATTAGTTCAAATGACCAAATGCCTAGTATCTTTAGCTTGAATATTTCCTCATTGTTTATCATATTGATGAACGGCTTCAGAAAACCATTCTCGCTCTTAACAGGTCTACCTTTCATCGTCACTCCTTCTCTTGAAGTTGCCCATTGTCTTCCTCGCCTTTCACCTTTGCTCCTTCCTCCACCATCACCGCTATTTCTCATGCCACCCATCATTTACATTTGTACTCTCAATTCCACTATTCGAATGCCAATATGCTCATGCTTGGCGTTCAAATTTTGCTACTGCTGACTAATACTTCATCTTGTCGTAGTCACTGCCCAAGATCGATCCTTTTGATTTGTTACCAATGCTGATACCTTGTATTGCTATTTTTTTTATATATTTAATTCTCATTGAATACAATTATTTCATATAAACAGATACATCATTTTCCATATTTTCCTTTTTAAACATAACTTCTAATAGCAGCACAGTTCTATGTATTAATAAACTCAATTTTGTTTTGGAAGGAGAGTTTCATGTGATTGGTTTTTATTCATTTTTATCTAGTTTAAGGCTTTTGTTTAATTTTTTTTTACTCTCAACCTTTAGGTTGATTAATGAATAACTGAAAAATTAGAATTCAAAGGTTTATATAGAGTTGCTCAATAAAAGTAATAACTTCCTCTTTTGTTTTTTATTTGTTTTAAGGGAGTATATTTTTTATAGTATGCAACAGAGCATAGATGTGGTGTGTTTGTCAAAGGACCAAATTTGAGTGGAAACATATAAGGAACTTATCCTTTGAAAGACAACCACTTACTTTTAAAAGCAGAAGCTTTAGATGATTCTCAATAAGTAAGCCATACTGCAGCTATTATTAATTAGTTGTCCAAGGAAATAATTAAGATTTTAGTTTCATATCTTGGGAATGCTAAACGTGTTGCAGAAGGGAAGAATATAGCTAATGTAGTCCTTTTAAGAGGTTGTGGTATTCGAATTAAAGTCTGTTATTTAAAATTTTATCATACTTTGTTCATTTAGTTACTAAACATGAAAATACTGCTTAATGGAACCAAAATCTACAGTGTGATCCATTTGCATAGTCTGATATCTTAAAGGAAGGCACTTAAAGTAAATTATTTTTAGGAAATACTTAACAATATTTAAAATTTGAAAATAATTATGGTGTTGGTTATTCTAGAAGAAGTATAGTTCTTGTTCTATACCTTAAAATTTATGTTTTTATGTACTTTTGATCACAAACTTAGTAAAATAATTGGATATTAAATCACATGATATTTAATCCCAAATAAAAAAAAATAGATGTAACATATTCAGAATTACAATATAATTTATTGATGCTTATGTACTCATTTACATGTCTTATATATGCATCTATTTTAAATTTTTTTTTATAGGTTACTTCATTGGTAAACAAACATGGCTTGTGGCCATACATGATAGCTCTGACAAAAATAATTACTTGGCATCGATATTCTTGAAGCTCCTGGAGCAAAGATTATCAAACGCTACTAACTTCAAAAGCAATAGCAATAGTCAAGGCACTCTAAGCTTTATTCTTGTCCTTAAGTTTTTATACCTAGAAAGGATAAATATAAAAGAAGGCTGATCAGAAGGATATGACTTTGGATTTCTACATATCAAGGTAAAAATTTTATTAGTTTTTGTTTCATTCAGTTTGCTTAGTTCTAAGTATTTCTCTTTTACCCTTCACATTAGCATGAAAATCTCACTACATGTATGGATAATTTTTCTTTCATTGTTAACTTTTGCCCAAAATAAAGGGCTAAATTGTTATCATCTTAAGACTAACATCACAATCTTCTGCATGTACTTTAGAAAAGTGCTTATACTTATTAGTTATGGTGCATGTTACTCTTAGAGATTAAAAGCAAAAGATAAATCTAAAATGTGAAAGTGTGTGCATATCTATGTGAAAGTACCATTATCTGCTCATCATGTGTTCATTTTCTTTTTGACAGACATGAAATTAAGCTTGGGATTAATTTTAAATATGTGTTTGATATGCTTTGATTTCCCTTTATCTTTTTATTTGTTTTCAAATTTAAGTGTCACATGGATGTGTTAGTACGTTTCATGTTCAGTAATTTTGTGGGTATTGCATGTTAATGCTTGAATGACTTACTTGTAATGGATATTAATTTTCATTTTAGGCATAACGTTTTTGACACACTAAAGCATGAGGTTTTGTCTAAAAAGGAGGAAAAAAATAAATTCAAGTTAAGAAGCTCTTGCATGCATATCAGAAATCAAGTGAACTATAAGAAAATGTTGGTCAAGGGATTTTCCTAAAAAATTGAATAAAATCATGATTGTGCTTTGAAATGTACTTATGACCATCTCCTTATTTGTTTTTTTTTTTGTACAGGGTAGGATGTAATTTAACATAGGCATGATGTTATTATTGACCCTTCGTCGTATATTTTTTAATATAAGGTGCCTTATGGTCTTTGTTTATCATTTTAATTGTACTTGACAGAAAAATTAACCAAATCTAATGAAATTAATGTTCTTTTATTGAAATTATTTTTGTTCATTCTCGCTCTTTACATTTACTTATTTTTCCAAGATAATTCAATTGTTCTACATTTTTCATTGTTAACATGGTTTGCTATATAATGTATACTAATTGAAAAGAGAGAACTTATTATAAATATTCCCTTATTTGTTTTTTGTATAGGGTAAGATGCATTTTAACATGAGTATGATGTTATTCTTATTCCCTTTAACATATTCTTTGATTTGGGGTATTAGGGCTAAAGGGTGTGAGAATTTTGGCTTAAGGTGTGAGAATTTTGACTTGGGTATTAGGGGTATGACTTGGGTGCAAGACTTCTAGTTTAAGGTGCATGTGTTATGGCTTAGAGTGTAAGGTTTTTGGCTTAAGCGTGAGGGTTCTGATTTGAGTGCAAGAGGTATTACTTGGGTGAAAGGCTTATGGCTTAAAGTGTAAGGGGCATGGCTTAGGTGCAAGAGACCTAGTTTAGAGTGCAAAGTTTCTAGCTTAATTATTTTCATATAATTCATAGTCATTTTCATGTGATTCAAGGGTACCAATAGTGGTATGCTCTTTATGTGTTTAATTTACATGTAATCTACTAGATCTTATATGTAAATTATTCTTCAAGCATGCTCGTGAATTTCTTTATATACTGATTTACATGTAATTCATAATTGTTTTCATGTAATTTAAGGACATTGATAGGGGCATATTCTCTGTGTATTTAATTTAAATATAATCTGCTAGAGATTACACATAAATTATTCTTTAGTCATGCTCACAGGTTTTTTCACATATAGATGTACATATAATCCATAGTTATTTTCATGTAATTATGGAGGATTAACAGGAGCATACTCTTTATGTGTTTTACTTACATATAATCCTCTAGAGATTACTTGTAAATTATTCCTCAAGTATGCTTGCAATTTTTTTCCCATATTAATTTATATATAATTTATAGTCATTTGCATGTAATTCTAGGGGATTAACAAGAGTGTGCTTTTTATATGTTTGATTTACACGTAATATTCCTCAGGCATGCTCACAAATTTTTTTCTATATTAATTTACATGTAATTAACTAGTTGTCATTTTCATGTAATTACAGCGTCATTGATAGTAGGTGTTCTCTTTGTATTTGATTTACATGTAATTCATAAGATATTACATGTAATTATTCAAGCCAAAAGCCTTACACCCTAAGCCAGAACACGTGCACCCTGAGCCAGATCCCTTACACCCTAAGTTAGATCTCTTGCATTCAAGCCAGAAGCCTTGCACCCAAGCCAAACCCCTTACACCTTAAGCCATAAGCCTTGCACCTCAAGTCAAAAGCCTTGTACTTAAGCCAGAAGTCTTACACTTAGGTTAAAAGTCTTGCGTCCAAGCTATAACCTTACACCTCAAATCAGAAGCCTTATACCCAAGCCAAATCCCTTGCACCCAAGTCATCACCCTTATACATCATGCCAGAAGCTTTGTGCCTAAATCAGAACTATTGCACCCTAAGTCAAAATCCTTACACTTTATAGTTGTTGAGTTTACATGTGATCCTTGATGATTTACATATAATGAAGGGGTGTTAATTTTTTTTGGAGACAATTTTCGACAACCATTCATCTCCTGGCCGAAGCTCCAGTAGGCAATAGTTTGTGCCTTTCTGAAAAAAAAAAACAATTAATTGACATAGGGGGACATTTTGGTTATTTGTTCAAATTATTTAATGTATAAAATATTAACTTTAGTCCTTCAAGTATATTTAGTCCTTAGGATCAATGTTGCTTATAACTAGGTAATTTTCACCAATTTTTCCTTTCTGTTTTCCATTCTAAAAAATAAAAAGGTTAAAAAATTATTATGAAAAATTTAAAAAAAACCTTTTTATTCATTAATGATAATTATATTTATAAAATAAAATATTCTCACATTTTTCTTTTACCAATTTAAATATGTTTTTTAATAATAAATTAATAATTTTTTTATTTTTTATTTTTAAAACTTGTCCTAGAAAGCTGTTATATAAAATTGTTTTAAAAAGATTGATCACATAATAAAGATGCTAATTTCCTCCCCACCAAATCATGGAAAGCTTTTTCCTTTTCTATTTTCTAGCGAACGGAACGAGGCCAATGGTCCAAACGAGTAAACGACGATATCTTCCGTTCTGTAGCCTTAGCAGCCCCTTCGCAGAAAAACCCGGTATTTATTTTTGTGTCGGGAGCCGGAACAGCCATTCCTATTAGAAACATTGACGCCACCAACCCTGCTTGACCTGGGCATGGCTTTCATCAACAAGTTTTGGATTTTCTGTCTGGCTTTGTTTTTCCTCGCTTCACCTCTCATGCAAGGTCTGCTCCTCAAATTCTAGATCCAAATCAATCTAGCTCGTGCGTATGCTTCGTATATTTTATTCCATTTTTTTCCCGTTTCTAGTACATAATTTAATTTAGCTAGGATCGGATTATTGCATGCATTTTATGATCGGATCACCTGCAGTATTGTTAACGTGGACTATTTGTTTTTATTGCTGTTTTGCTTTCATATTCAGGGTCAACTGCTTGTTTTCTAGCTGACTTTTTAGTTTGATCTGCTTTTTACTGTTTTAGATTTGATATGTTCTAGGTCTTGGCCTTTCTTGAGTCTTTAGTGTTGTCCTGCTTTATTTGCTTATATGAGGCAGACTGATAAAAATTTGGAAAATTGGGTGGCTAAACATCGTTTGATACAAGTTTCGACAAACAAATGAAAAATGTGGTTCTTTTTACTTCTTAGTTGCTAGGTGCCAGTCAGATTCAGATGAGGCTGTAGAGACCACTGAAGTAGTAAGTGATGTTGGAATTGTTGGTCAGAATACTCAGGATTTTGGTGACGAGAGCTATTCTTCCGCTCCAGGAATTGATACGTTCTATGTATTCCCAAAGAATGGTGCAAAATGTAAGAGCCTGGTATATTAGTGCGCAAAAATATGATTCACAACCAATGAGTTTCTTTTTTGTTGAGAGTATGTAACCTTATTTGTTTATATAATTTAGTGGTTCCAGCTGGAGAAGAGACAGACCTACTCGTTGCTGTGAAAAATGATGGTAATTGAATCAGATTTGATTTTCATGTATATATTTTGCACTGCAATTTCACGTTCTTCTGTTCAGTAACATTTGTACTGGTGACCAATCACTGGTAAGCTATAATGTTTTTCATTTTTATCTTCTCACTCTTCGAACATCTCTTCATACTGGTGGCCGTGTTACATTATTTACTTGCTACTTCGTTGGTTACACTATGTTCAAAATAATGGGACAATAAAATTTTTGACAAGCTACCTGATTTAATTCATTGTATGAACTGGGAACAGGGGAGGCAAACTTGAAGGTTATTGCAATTAAAGCTAGTGTTCACTTCCCAAATAATCATCACTATGTTGTTCAAAATCTTACTGCTCAGGTAATAATTTCATGCTGAATGTCGGATTTATTCCTCCTTTTTTTTTTCTTGCTATCCGTGTTCAAGACTTATTAGCGAAGCATGTGTTTAATCCATTGTTGTTAATTTGTAACCTATCTAATTATGGTTTAGATAAAAAGTCATTTCTGGTCTCTATCGTTTGGCTTGTGTCATGATGGACCTCAAGAATCTAAAGATTTTTTTTGGTGGATAATTTGAATATATATACCTTTGGCTAGGAAACTATAGTATTTAGTTTTCACAAGAAAAAGATTGTTTTATTAATAGGACAAAGCTTGAGATTTGAGAATGTGTCTTCCAACTTCCAAGCATATTTGGGCATCAATTTTGTAGACATGACACTGCTGCTGGGTTGAGTGTAGAAAATGGGCTTGAGAATGTGTTTCTTGATATATTTTTATCCTATCCTTTTATCTTCAGAGAGCAGTAATCGTTCTTCCCTTCAAATAGACATTACTCAGTTATTTTAGTTTTCCAAATCCATCTGAAAGCATGAAATGTGTTGAATTAATAACTCTGATATGGTGTACCACATGCTTGTTCCGTCTCTTCTGATGGAGCTAGGGTTTCTGATACTACACTAGTTTGGCTGTTTTAATTTGTAAAATTGAATGATAGCTTGTGTTTTAATTGCAGCTTTTTAATTATGCTTCTTTGCCAGCTTCAGCACAGGGTACTTTCCCATATACATTTGCTGTAAGCCAATTCTTGCAGGTAAACTCCATTGTTTTGAAAGTCTAACAGATTTAAATTCTCAGTCATGGACATCAGAAAAGGATCAAGGTTAAGATGCCTAATTATTTGCTTTTGCTATGCAGCCTGGAGCTTTTGATCTTGTGGGCACCATTATATATGAAATTGACCAGCATCCATACCAAAGCACATTCTATAATGGCACTATTGAAGTTGTTGAGGCTGGCAGTTTTCTGAGCATGGAGTCTGTTTTTCTTGTTACTCTCGGAATTGCCCTTCTTGTCCTTTTTGTGCTATGGATTTATGGTCAAGTTCAAAATGCATCCAAGGTACTGCAATTTTTTTTATGTGATTTTCTTGAATGGATTTAATTTTACAGGACTAAATCATTAATTTACTTTACTCTTATGTGTTTTAAGTATTAAGTTCCATTATCCTCTTCCTATTAATTCAGTATATGCTACTTTGAAATGTTTTACTGGAAAGATGCATAGATGCTACAGGAGTAAAAGAAATGAAGAATTACTCCTATCAAGTAAGAAGCACTGGAGTTGGAGAAATTATGTTTCTGTATTTTCCTTACCTGGCTTCATAATTATTTGGGGTAAAAGAATCCATTTCACCTGGAGACTATAAGAGTGTCTCCTTTCAAGGTTCTTTCTTCATTAATTTCTGTGTCTGTGTCATAGCTTAGTTATTATCAAGCATTATGCATGTACAATACTGAAACAGCAGCTCATAAGATATTTCAAACTCTTAGAAGCATTTCTCCAAACTACGTATTTGCATCTTTCCCCATTTAATTTTCATATTTGCACATGAATATTTTCCTAGAAAACAAAGAAGGGCGCAAAAGTTGAAGTTGGGACAAGGACTACCTCAATGGATGAATGGCTTGAGGTGCGTGTTTATGCATTAATGCTTTACTATGCATTTGACACTTAATTCTGTTCGATGTCATGGTGACTTTAGTTGATTCCCAGAATAAGAAAAAATTGCATGTCACCAGGAAGTAAGACCTCATTATAACTAATAAATAAATTTTAAAATGTGACAACATAACACGCACACGCACATTTTTGGAAAAACACAATACTGTCTTTTGAATGAGACTGAGGTGTTTTGTGTCTTTACCAAAAAAACAGGAAAACTTTTGTTATATTTAAAATTGATACACTGTTGTTGTAATCAGACCTTACTCTGGGGGTGTAAAATGTAGTTACCATCGGAAGTCTCCCCCCCTTCTCATTATCTGTATATACTTTATCCTGAGACCGTTAAATTTTAGTTTGGATTTGGCTTCTAATGTCTCTTTTATTTCTACTATATGTCTACTCCTAGGGAACTGCATACACCAGGTCGAACAGCAAATCAAAGAAGAAAGATAAATAATTCTTCTCAAGTTCATACACGCAAGACAACCATGGAGTACCGAATCCTGCAACTCAACTAGGTTGGAGAATTTGAAAGGGCTAAAGAAGTAGCACAACTTTAGGCAGAGAAGCTGCCCTTCTGTTTTAACCTATGAAAGATATTTAACCATTTTCCCCCTCCATATGAAGTTTAGTTTTCCCAAAGAGAAACTGACAGGGATGAGTTCAGAAAAATAATTTTTTTTTTTTTTTTTTTTGTGAACCGCAGATTTTTTTTATTATTTTTATTGGTTAGAGTTAGATGCTGTTCTTACAATCTAGATTCTGTTCTTCTTGTGGACTTAATTTAAATTGGATTATTGATGTTTGGCCGTAGTTTATATTTTGTTCCATCGCTGGCATTATATAGTCTGAATTGTTGATCATGTAGTAGGGTTTAAATTCGGAGTATTGATTGCAGATGATTTTCCTTCAGTAACTACTGCTGTGTAGACTGTAGGGAGCCTCTCCGGCGTTTATATGGTCTGGCCGTCTGGGTTTAATTTTTTTTTTAATAATTTTTTAGGTTAATAAATGCATAGTTATTCCAAATCAATGTCATCGATCATGTCTCCTAATAGATTACGAGTCCAGATCCTCTCCAATGGTATTTGAGGTGAAGGAAAGAAGGGGAAAAGAGGAAATCGATTTCGCTTTTGTTTATGTGGTCCTACGGAAGTTTTCTCGCTATCCTTTCAACTTCCGAGGATTATTGAATAGATGACTGCTTAAGAGACGTATAATGTGTAAAGGAATGAAATCGTGATATTATTTTTCCTTTGACAATGTGCTGATTTTGATGTCACCAATTCGTGGTAGTTGCTGTAGGCTTGGGATTGAAAGCAGACATATGAGCTTATATTCACTGTGATCTTGATGTTGTATGATATTTTCAGTTTTTTTTTTTTTAAAAAAAACCTTGTACATTCTAATCACCCAAATTCGTTACTGGAAAAGATCCAGAACTGTCTTTATCTTAGTAAGGACTGACTGACTAAGGCTTTTCTTAGTTCAAATTTGAGATCATTGATTAAGCTGACGTTCTAGAAGTCCTCAAAATCTATTGAAAGAGAGGACTCCACAATGTGGTAGTTGTTAGTGATTATGTTAAGGATATGAATATGATTAAAAGGGGGTGGGAGGCATAATGGAAGACTTGACTAAATAATTTAGAAAATTCCTTGAAATGGATTAAAACATTATTTTTAACATGTTTATGGTATAGCAAATAAATGTACAAATTAGCTTGCAATGTTGGCTCAAAACCTCGACTATTACTCCATGTTGTTTACTAATCCCCCTGAGATGTAGGAAGCGAATAGATTTGGACAAGTAGAGTGCTAGTGTATTCTATGTTGTTTCCTTTCTTTGTATAAATGTATCGTTATCCTAGAATTTTCAGTGAAGGGAAAAAGACATTAGTCATTCTTTTAGACAACACGTGTTAGTTATTAACAAACATAATTACTTATATTCAACTTCCCATCCCCTCTCACTATCTTTGTTAAGGGAAAAACTTAACATGGATTAAAATAAAAATAATAAATTATTGACATTTATGCATAACAATTAATTTTTTGAAAATTTAATCTTCTTTTAAATTTGCAATTAATAGACTATTTTTGTTCTCTGTTTTTAACTAAAAATTTCAAAATAAAATTAGAATTTATTCCCATCTAAATTATATATAAATAATTAATTTGATAGAAACAACACTAAAGCTATCAATTAAGGTGTCCTGACTCTTAAAAGGCCAATTCCTAAACGAATTGAATCTATTAAGTTCGATTACACTTTAAAATTTTATTTTGGCCAATCCAACCTTAGCCTTTAGGCCTTGAGGGTCGGCCCTTAGAGCCTTAACCTTATCTATTTTTTTATTTTTTTAATTTAAAAATATAAAAAAATATTTAAAATTTTAAGAAGTTGTTATTCATAATATTGCATGAAAAAAAATAAATTTAAGATGATACATACAATAACAAATTTAAATCTAATCAAAAGTAGTAATATCATTAAATCAACACCGATAATAATTAAACTTTGCCAATATCATTAGTTAAATTTTGATAATTTTTCTTGTCATCAACATCAATATAATTTCATCATTTTTCTTGTGGAGTCTCATCAGTAGTAAAGATATTAAGCTTTTCATATCTTCTTTCATTGTCATTATCTACAACAAATAATAAACCAAAAACAGAATTTCAATATATTTAACATGTGCAAAAATATTTAAAATAAACCAATAATAATAAGTTAACCTTCAACTCAAAACCATGCAAGGAGTGTGAATGGCAGAAATCAAACAACTATGAGGGAGGTAAGCTAGGGTTTTTAGTTTTAAAGGGCTAGCCTTTTTATTTTTGAGCTTAAAAAAGTTAGATTTAATTTATCATTTTACATTTTAAAAATATAATATGGCCCTAAATTTTTTTGAGCTTAACCTAATTCACGGCTCTAAACAACATCACTTCAAAGGCCAATGATTGAGCACTAACGCCTCTCTGTCCAGGATTCTGGTGTCATGATAAAAGGAGTAGCTGAACATTTATTAAATGATTTTAGCTTGACATGATATATTTAATTGGCGATGTCCATGGTCATGGTAGGAGGATGATTATTTGCAGAGAGCAAAGCAGTTTAGCAATATCTAAAGATGCCATGTTTGCTAATATTATTGCCAACTTCATTTAGCAGCAGTTGTTGTCAGAATGTCACAATTATTTAGTACTTGTCGTCGGGATGATCATCAGATGCTTTGTACAGTAAAATGAAAGAGACGGACAAGACTTTAATGGGAATCTCAGAGTTATGGTGATTTTAAATGATCCCAACCCAACTGAATAAAATTGATAATATACCAACTGCAATTATAATTTAGTGTCGGGGTGTAGACAATCATTACATATTAAGGCGATGCTCATCAACTTTCAAACTCATTATACTTTTAAGAAGATGCATACATATAAGTTAACTATCACTTTTTTTTTTACCCAAAACCTTAAAGTATTAGATTTATAATTCTTTTTTTACTTATATACCTCTTTTACAATTAGATTTTATCTGATATAATATTTATTCTTACACCAACTCATGTTTCACTCCCAACATTGAGTAATATGCTCCATTGAGCCCTTTATGTCGGTCACGTTCTAGAAAGACTTTGTGATGTTAAATGTAAGTCATTTTGGATGAATTTTTGGATATTTAATCCTTTTTTCCAAAAAAAAAAAATTATGTGAATTTCCAATGATATTTTGAGGGTATTTTTTTCCCTTAAGTTAATGGTGTTAATTGGGGATAAAAATGGAATCTTCTTCAATTTTAAGACCACTTTAATGAGGTACTCCCTCCATTCAAAAGATGTAAGGCATTTTTTAAGAAGTTGGATGTTAAAAAATGTGAGGCATTTTTAATCTTTCGAGATGTAATTATTGCTTTTTTTTTTCAAAAGTGCCCATATTGACAATGACTTTATATTTATTGTAGGGTATTTAATAGAGATAAAAATAAAAAGATAGAGTTAGTTGGAAAGTAGGTAACTACTTTATTGGAGGGTGAGATTCGATTAAAAATACCTTGCATTTTTGAATGAAAGGAGTAAGTTATTTTCTTTAATTCTAATGAGTTAGTTGAAAATAATCTACATTGACAATTAAAGAAAGTTAATTTATAAGCAACCAATTTCAATTATTTCATTTCTTTTACGTGATTAAAGACAAGTTATTCAGAGTCTGGTCAGATTGTAGAGCACTAGAGATAGAATTGGTTGGTGCATCCAAGTGGATTCACGTGAAGCCGGAGGTTGGCATGGCAGGTGTGGTAAAAGTTTCTTGCTTTCAAGCTATCCCAAATTGTGAATGTGAGAATAATCAGATCAGGCGCAGTAACATAACCATTTGTTCCCTGACTTGTCCAAGTCCAGCTCAAGGATCATGATCCATGCCTAGTGTAAAAAAGCATTTATTAGAAGCCATTAAGTAGGTTTGAGACAGATGTACAATAATGCACACAAATCCTTTAATCTGTGCGGTTGGGAGTTCAAAAAAGCATTGAATTGAAAGATAATGCCACTTTGATAGTGCAAACCATAGAGATCACGTTAATGTCTTTTTCTCCCTGCAAAGCAAAGCATCTCAAGTCATCCATGGCGGTCCCTAGTATCATGTGAGGCTATTTATTTCAGTGTCGGTGAGATTTCAAGAGCTTTTCTTCAGATTGTTATATATTGAGCCAATGAATCTCCAGTACTACTCATCAATTTTCTTGGGAAGGCTTAGAAGCCTATTGCTTCTGATCTGTTCAATAGAACTTGTAAATGCAGAAGTCCAGGGTTAGCCATAGAGCAGTTATCTGCTTCTGGCTTTCTCTGCTGTTCGTGGTAACAGACATTTGCTGCGGAGAGCTGGGGACAGTCGAGGTTGTTGGGATAGGAGAATGCGCAGACTGCAATCAGAATAACATTAAGAGCGGCCATGCTTTCTCTGGTACATTGTCTTCTTTTATATATTCTCTTAATTTAATGTTTTACTTTCGAGTTTTAAGGTTTCACCGTTTTGTTGGAGCTACTTTCTTCTTCTGGTGTTGATCAGATTAATAACTTGCAACATCACGGCATAAGAAAGAAAGGGTAATCATAATCAAGCTATTCGTTTTACTTAATTGCACCATTTCCAGTACGTGATCATGTGCTTGAAGAGAACAACCAACAAAAAGTGAGATTGCATGAAGACTGAAAATATCACATTATGGTTAAATGGTAACATGATTATTAATGTTTTGGTGGGTGAATTTTCTGTGCAGGGCTACGTGTGACTATAGATTGCAAATCAGAGAATGGCCACTTCAAAACAAAAGGGACTGGTGTGCTTGATAGCAAGGGAAACTTCAAAGTGTCACTTCCTCAAGAGATGATAAAAGGTGGTGAATTGAAGGAAGAATGCTATGCTCAGCTTCACAGTGCTTCATCTGCTCCTTGTCCTACTCATGACGGCTTGAAAAACTCCAAAATTGAGGTTAACTCAGAAAATGGCAAGCAAACCCTTAGGCCATGTGGAACAGTCAAGTTCTCATCAGTAACTTGCACTTCAGCATTCTTTTGGCCTTTCCACAACTTCCCTCCTTTACCTAAACCACCACCTCTACCAAAACCTCATCATCCTTTGTTCCCTAAGCTTCCACCTTTTAAACACTTTGGCCATCCTTTCCCCTTCCCTCATCATAAAGTCTTCCCACCTCTCCCTCCAAAGGTCTTCCCACCTCTACCTCCAAAGGTTTTCCCTCCTATTTACGAGAAGCCTCTCCCTCCTCCTGTCCCGGTCTATAAACCTATCCCTCCTCATGTGCCTGTGTACAATAAGCCTTTTCCTCCTCCTATAATTTACAAGCCTCCACCAATACCAGCATACAAGAAGCCTTGTCCTCCTCCTATGCCAATATATAAGAAGCCTCCACCAGTACCAGAATACAAGAAGCCTCTTCCTCCTCCTGTGCCTGTATATGTAAATCCTCCACCAGTACCAGTATATAAGAAACCTCTTCCTCCTCCTGTGCCTGTTTATGTAAAGCCTCCACCAGTGCCAGAATATAAGAAACCTCTTCCTCCTCCTGTGCCTGTTTATGTAAAGCCTCCACCAGTGCCAGTATACAAGAAGTCTTGTCCTCCTCCTGTGCCAATATATAAGAAGCCTCCACCAGTGCCAGAATACAAGAAGCCTCTTCCTCCTCCTGTGCCTGTATATGTAAATCCTCCACCCGTACCAGAATATAAGAAACCTCTTCCTCCTCCTGTGCCTATTTATGTAAAGCCTCCACCAGTGCCAGAATATAAGAAACCTCTTCCTCCTCCTGTGCCTATATACAAGGAGCCTCCGCCAGTGCCAGTATATAAGAAACCTCTTCCTCCTCCTGTGCCTATATACAAGGAGCCTCCGCCAGTGCCAGTATATAAGAAACCTCTTCCTCCGCCAGTTCCAGTATATAAGAAACCTCTTCCTCCTCCAGTTCCTTTCTTCCATAAGCCACATCCATTTTTCAAGAAGCCACTTCCTCCTATTCCACCATTTTTCAAGCCCCATCCTTTTCCTAAGATTCTTCCACCACCAATCCCAATTTACAAGAAGCCACTTCCTCCTATTCCACCATTTTTCAAGCCTCATCCTTTTCCTGAGATTCTTCCACCACCAATCCCAATTTACAAGAAGCCACTTCCTCCTATTCCACCATTTTTCAAGCCTCATCCTTTTCCTAAGATTCTTCCACCACCAATCCCAGTTTACAAGAAGCCACTTCCTCATCCACACATTCCAGTTTACAAGCATCCACTTTATAAACCTCTTCCTCCTTTCCCAAAGTTTCCTCCTTTCAAGAAGAAGCCTCTTCCTAAGCTTCCCCCACTTCCCAAGTTCCCTCCAAAGCATTTCCATCACCCTAAGTTTGGAAAATGGCCTCCGCTGCCTCATGTTCCTCCTCATGCATAGAGTACTATTGTCGTACAACTAAACGGTGAAGTTCTCATAAGCCATACAGTACAATAAGTTAATAAAAGTTACTGGTTATTTTTGTTAACTTATTGTGCAATCATCCAATAGGAAGGAATTTCTCAAACTAGAGGACCAACAGATTCACATGCATGGTTTCTTTCTGCTTTTTGCTTTCCGTATCATCAGAGATCCATGAATATTGTCGTAGCAATAAAGCCGGCATAAGAAAGTGGATAGGAACGTGAAGAGTGAGTGTAGAGAAAAAAATGGAAGCAATGTTGCGATTTGAAGCAGCTTTTATTATTGGAAAATGTGTTGGTGGTTGTTGTTGGTTATATGCAATGACTTTTTCTGCCTGTATCCGTGCTTGCTTATGTGAATGCAGAATGATGATGTTGATAATGATGGGAAACAAACTGGCATATTTACAATCTGCATGTAATTCCCATTAATTACTCCTATCTGTTTTTGTTTTTGGTCAGTATTACTCTGCATATCTATCTATATTATTCCTGGCTAGATGCTTTAGATATCTATCCCATTATGTGAAGCTGTAATCAATGGGCATTTACGTTCATGACGGAGAAAAATAAGTTACTCTATAAAAAACAGAAGAGGACCGCACAAGAAGTTTAGACCAAACTAACAAGTAACAAGGAGGCCTATACCCGATTGAAAACCCAGTAGAATTGTTAAACTGATAAAATCAATTAGAAATTGAAAAAAAAATGGCAAGTCACTGAATTGATTGGTTTAGACCTTTTCTTTTTTGGTTGATATAACTTACAAAAGGAAGAAAAGAGACAAAGTGAACCTAAATAGATAACTCTTAGTGGTATTATCTTTGCATTTTTTATTTTTTTTTTGGGTAATCAATATTATCTTTGTATTATTCTTTTTGCTTGATATATAATTTCATAGCTAAGAATGGTTTAATTTAGGATAGAAGATATATCAATTCGAGTTGACAAATAATCAACTCAGTAATTTGCTCGCTGGTTCTATTCTACTCGATGACTGGCTTTTAGAGCTAGTTATAAATGCTTTACGTTCGAGCCAACAATCTTCTCATCAGTTAGTAGGTTCTGGAGAAGGCTTGAGCCTTTTGGAGTTGGTGATTAACTGGCTTTTTAAGCTAGTTCCTTGTTTGTGTTGGGTTTTGCTTACTTGGTTCATGCAAATATGTTCTGCTCAATGCCATGGCTTCCTCACATCAAGTTTTGGCTTTCAAAATCCTACGGGAAAAGATTTACTGAATCGAAACTTGCATGATTCAGTAATTTACTCGCTGTACTTAAATCAGCTCTTTGTGAATTGGCTTTCAAGCTGGTTCTTCACATCATTATTGCGAGTTCAACTCAACAACATTTGCACGATCAAGAAAAGCATGTTTTGGGCTTTTGCTTCCTTGGGTTTTGTTTATCTTTCATGTTCTTGCCGTGTCTGTAAGGCGCCTGTTTGTTTCTGCTGTGTGTGTTTGTCCTCTTTGTCATTTTCTTTTAATCAGTTACATTTGCGCTCTTAAACGTTCTGCTTAGGGGTCCTTTTGGTGTGTAATTGCTTTTATGTTTTAATAATATTTGACTTTATTTCAAAAAAAAAAAAAGAAAAAAGGAAAGAAGATATATCAATCACTAAGTTACTAATTATTCTTAATCTTTTTAAAAGTATATTACCAAAGCTAGATTGTGAGCTTGCTTTACATGGATTTTGAGACAAGTTATACTATTAATGATTTATAAATAATGTTATTTTAAAAAAAAATCTATAATATATATTAATGTATTTTTCTACAAATGATAATGACTCTTTTGGATGCACACAACTCACCTTAGTTTACTAGCATTCATATCTTTTTTATAATTTCCATTCCAATTTTTATATTTATTAGAAGCAGTTCAGCAAACTCTTATGTTCATCTTTAACCGCTTGAATCTCGAAAGGAATTGTGGAAAAATATAGCAAAGCTGTTGCTCAAGAGAGACTTTTCTGGCATCAAAGTCAAGATGTAGCCGGCTGAAGTGGGAAGATAAAAATAACAAGTTCTTTCATGCCAATTAAATCATCAGAAGAAGAAAGAAATAGATCAATAGAAGCTCTCGAAGACGAAAATGGCGAATGGATGACAGACCAAGAGGAATCAAAGCGTGTGGTGAAGAATTGCTTCTTTGATTTGTTTAAAAGGGATGTAACTGTTATAGCTAGACCCTGCTCTGAAAGTAAATTTCTCAAGATCAATGAAGCTGAGAGATTAACGAGTGTAGAGAGAGAAATGGAAGAAGCTTTGCTACTTGGCGAAGCTTTTATTGTTGGAAAATGTGTGGGAGGTTTTTGTTGGCTAAGCAAGGGCTTTTTCCGTCTGTATCTGTGCTTGCTCGTGTGAATGCAGAGTGATGATGTTGGTAATAGTGGAAAACAAAGTGTCATCTTCACATTCTGCATGTAATTCCCAACAATTACTCCTATCTGTTTTTTTTTTTTATTTTTTTGGTCAGTGTTATCCAACGTAACTATATTACTCTTATCTATCAGTGACTTTTAAATAATGCTATTTTTGAAAAAAAAATCTGTTATACATTTATTTAAGAGTGTTTAGCTTGTACTCGTTTCGATTGGTCCGATATCATCCCAATTATATTGGGATGAGTTTTGTTCCAACTCAAAAACAATCGAGATGGGATTTTGCAAAATGAGACAAAAAAAGAGTTCAGGACGAAACACGAGATTACCATTGGGACGTTCCATCCTATCTCAAATATTATATATATTATTTTTTATTTAAAATTATACATTAAATATATTAATTATATTAATATAATTCATACTTATATTAATTATATCAATTATAATTTCAATACTTGAATTCTTATATAAAATTAAAGTTTTTTATATTGATAATTTCAATGACATAGAGTAAACCGGATAATATATTTCTTTATAATGTATTAATTATATTAATATAATTTATTCTTATGTCTATCTATTTAATAACTTTTATTTATATCACATTTCTTGTTTTATTTTCAAAAGAGTAATAAGCTTAGCACATCTCAATTAAAATAGGAAAACAATGATATAATGTTATGTTTGACTTGCCTGTTATTACTGCTCTTATAACCTAGAGATCACTTGTAATTGCTATTATAAAGTGTAATTTTGATTAATGCGATTTAATAATTAACTTTAAATTATCGTGATTTATGTATTTGTATTATTTTAATTTTAAAATTAATAAATTATATAATTTAAAATTTTATGAATGTTATTATTCAGGTCTTTCTCAAACATTGTTCGATTTATTGAGATGATGAGATGTTCTTATTTTGTTTTGATCCTATCCTGATTTCTAATTGGATAGGACAACTTTGAGATAAGACATGGCATATGATAAAAATTCAGTTCTGATTTTTTTTTTTTTTTCGAGATGGGACATGAGATAAAGGTGTCCTAATCCTGTCCCATAAACACCCATACATTTATTGATATATTGAAATTATTTTCAAAATACAAGTGCTAGCCAATTGTATTTTTACATTGTGGTTTTTTTTGTTTTATCATTGGATAGTCAAATATCAATATAAGAAATATAAGGATTATGTATTTCCCTTTGTATAATCAAATGCATGTAACTCATTTTAGTTATAAGAAGTCCATCAAAAAAATCTCAGTTAGAATTTTAATTTTGTTTATATCAAAACTTTTATAAAATATTATTAATTACTAATATTCATATCTTTTTAATAATTTCAAGTTTTATAGTTAGTAGAATGATTTGATAACTCTTATATTCACCTTAAAATTTTAACGTGTATAGAGAAGAACTAAAACTTATTCGGAAAACTGTTTGTGTTTTTCAAAAATCTATTCACAAGAGCAACAATTTGCTGGATTTTGTAAACGTCAATTCAAACAAATTTTTAAAAGTAAACTAAACATGATGTAAATCCTTATCATCAATGTCTCAATAATAATTTAATTATTTAATCTAAATTGCACTTCAGTATTTCACATCAAAAGAAGAAGAGGATAGATAGAGAATCAAATTCGGGAAGAAAATGAACAACTATATTAGTTGAACTAGAATAAAACTCAATGCGTTGCACATAGTTGATCCAATACATTTGAATGGATTGGTTAAATACCTCAACATTTTAAATTTTAAAAGTTAATTAGAAATGTCATTTTATTAGATTTTCTTATCAAATGCACAGAAAAGTCGATTGAGTAAATTGGGTGACATCTCAACATTTTAAATTGTAAAATTCAATTCGTACAAGATTTAGCAAAGATCTCTTTTTTGTTTGTCTCTAGACATTATGTGGGTGTTTATCTTTATGAAAATTTGTGCTTTAGTAGGGTGTGACTCTTATATTTTTCTCAACTAATAAAGCCCAGCGCGATGCATGATTTTTTTACTGTAATTTTTATAAATAAATGTCAATTTGTAGGAAGATCTTTTTTTAAAAGAACAGCTTGTAATAAATGTCAATCTAATTTTAGCGGAGTCATTATACATTGTAATTGCTCTTTTAATAAATTTTGTCAGTCTTTTCCAGAAAAAGAGCATATGCATTAAAATCCAATTTTAAATGGCTTAATATAATATAAGATGAAATAAGTGAAGGAGAAAAGAAGAAAGGAACATTCATGTGAAATTCACAAAATAATAAATCTCATTCATGTATCTCTCTTTTTCTTTGATTCGAACAAAACAAAATTCAAGAAGTTGTGATTATTCTTAGAAAAATAGGAGAAAATCTTGATTAATGAGTCATAATATTAACATCATACTACAGCATAATTAATAATTGCATAAAATATAATAATTTATACGAAATTAATTTAAAACTAAACCAATAAAACTCAAATATAAAGTTGAAAGTGAGATCAAACATTCATCCAATGTGCCTATATATTTTTGTATAACATAAGCTTGAGACAAATAAAAAAATAAAGATAATTTTACTTATTTGTAGAGCTTATAATTTGTTGGATTTTATCGAAAATACTATATCGCAATTTTATCAAACAAGTTTCTAAAGGAAAACTAAACATGTCGTAAATCCTTATCTTCAATGTCTCAATAACAATTTAATTCAAATTGCACCTCAGTATTTCATATCAAGAGAACGAGAGGATAGATAGAGAATCGAACTGGGGAAGAAAACAAACAGCTGCAGTAGCTAGTTGAGCTAGAATTAAATCCTACACTTTGCATGGAGTTGACCCAACACCATTGAGTGGATTAGTCAACACCTCAGTATTTTGAATTTTAAAAGTTAAAATTAGAAATGTCAATTTATTAGAATTTCTTATCAAACACACGAAATTGACCTGAGCCGATTGAGTGGATTGGGTGACATCTTAACACTTTGAATTGTAAAATTTAATTCATCATATCATATTTTTAGATCTACTTATCAAAATAAAATTATTTTTTTAAATAATTTTTGTAATATTGAAATAATGTACTTGTTGATGGTGTCTTTAATTTTTTTTCTATTTAACTTTAATTATTATTTAGATTC